AAATATTCTAAACTTTTTTTCTTTTCATGAAGAAACCAGCAACCCAGAGGCAGCTTTTCTACCTTTCACTCTAAAATTAGATCTTGGACTTTGGGTTGCCCATCATCGGACTACATGACTGTTGATTTCTCTTCCAGATGAATTAGGTTCTTGATCCCCTAATGGAAGTGACTTATATTGACTGCTTTGTCATATTATTTCTAGTCAGTTCTTTCCTTAATAACATCATCAGAAGGCTCTTTGGACAGAGTGTTTTTCATTCTCAAGAGGCTTTTGAAATACTCCTGGATGCAAATGTTATTGTGGTATTTTATTTTTTACACATATTTTACATATGTGTAATATGTGCCTTAAAGGCATCTGTCTTAGTTTGGCAATTACTGCAGAGTCAAATCAATAAACATTAATAATTCAACAGCTAAAGTAATGTATTTTCAGCAAACAATTCAGCAAAGTTTGACAGTTTACAAACGACTAGTCAGTTGATTAGGACTGGAACTTCAAATATCCTTGTGTGTCTTCAAATGAAATACTCTTGAAACAGTAAATCATTACCAACAAAAGTGGGAGGTGCCCACTGATATTTCATCATGTAAATCTGATCACCTGATCCATCTTGCTTTGAAACCCTCCCAAAGCAAATAATTAGACAATTCTGATGTAGGGTATGATCCTAAAAAATCAAAAGAGATGTCAAACCAAGAACACTGTAAAACTTTTCTTCTAGACCTTTGGGAAAACAGTCTGATAGTTCCTTAAAAGGTTAGATATAGAGTTACCATTTGTCCTGGAAGTTCCACTCCTAGGGATATACCCAAGAGAAATGAGATCATATATCTGTACACAGATGTTCATAGGTTCATAGCAGTATTGTTCATAATGGTCAAAAAATAGAATCAATCCAAATATCCATCAACTAAGGAATGGATAAACAAAATTTATCCACACAATGAAATATTCTTTGCCTATAAGAAGAAATGAAGTACTAATACATGTTACAACATAGATGAACCTTGAAAACATCATGCTAAGTGAAAGAAACCAGACCCCAAAGGTCACATGTTGTGTGATTCCATCCATATGAAATGTCTAGAACAGGCAGATTTTTGAGACAGAAAGTAGATCAGTGGTGGCCGAGGGTGGAGCAGGTTGGGGTGAGATGGAGGTGACTTCTAATGGGTGTAGGGTTTCTTTTTTTTTAATTACTTATTTTATTTTTGGCTGTGCTGAGTCTTCATGCTACACACGGGCTTTCGCTAGTTGCAGTGAGCATAGGCTACTCTCTAACTGCGGTGTGTGGACTTCTCACTGCAGTGGTTTCTCTTGTGGAGCATGGGTTCTAGAAGTTTGGACTCAACAGTTGTGGCACATAGGCTGACTTGCTCTGTGGAATGTGGAATCGTCCCAGACCAGGGATCAAACCTGTGTCCTCTGCATTGAGTAGATTCTTATCCAGTGGACCACCAGGGAAGTCCCGGTGTGGGGTTTCTTTATGGATTGACAGAAAATGTTCTAAAATCATTTTGTGGTGATGATTGTACAATTCTCTGAATATGCTAAAAACCCTGGAATTGTTCACTTTGGGTGAATTGTACAGTATGTGAACTACGTCTCAATAAAGTTGCTATAAATTTTTTAAATCTATTATAAATTTTGTTAAAAAACAGAAACAAAAACTTTAAGCCCTTGGGCTCTCCATGGTGATGCAGCATTGGCTCAGGCAGCAGAATTTACATTTTCTTAATGGGTCTGCTTTCCTAGGCCAAGAATACAATTGTATGGTATGTGTGTGTGTTTGTATCATCCTTAAACCCATCTCTTCAAAATGAAAAGACTGTCAGACCAATCTATCAAGTTGTGTTATAACATAACATGGACCTTGGTTTAAAACAGTCATTGGTCAAACTTGTGGATTATTTTCAGATATCTTTTGATATAGATTTAACATAATTCTAACATAATTAATAATAATTCTAACATAAGTCTAGCATACTATAGATCTAACATAATTCTACAGTAATAAGAAAATAGACTCTGTATGATTTCAATACCTTTAGACCACAAAATCTTTGCATCTTTTTTATGTCCCTGGATATGGTCTAGTGTCTCTTAATTTACAGTCTATGGGAACTTGAATAGAATTTGTATCCTACTGTTGTGTGAAAATTGTATAAATCTTAATTATGTTGAATTGGCTCATGGTGCTTTTCAAGCCTACTATATCCTTTACTTTTCTGTATATTCATTCTATTAATTTTTGAGAGATTTCTATTGAAACTCCAACTAAAAATCATGATTTATCTATTTAAAAAATAATTGTAATATATAGCAAAACTATATGTAACTTTGTTCTGTGTTTTCCAAGTCTCCTGTAAATGTGTTATCATACTTTCATAATTTAAAAAAAGAAAGAAAGAAAAAGAAATGGTTATTGGTCATTTAAACTTACTGCCATCCTGAGGATTCATAAGTCATGTCTAAAGTAAACATATATCTGTACCTTGAGGAGCAGATCTGTGATCAAAATGTGCTAATACATTGGTTATTTTACAAATTGATCATGGGCTGACACTCTTCTCGGTTTTAGCCATCACAAGTTCTTAGCCTTTGTGTTAGCTGCTCAGTCATGTCCAACTCTTTGAGACCACATGGATTGTAGCCTGCCAGGCTCCTCTGTCCATGGGCCTCTCCAGGCAAGAATACTGGAGTGGGTTGTCATGCCCTCCTCCAGGGGATCTTCCCCACCCAAAATTGAACCCAAATCTCCTGCACTGCATGCAGATTTTTTTACCATCTGAGCCACCAGGAAGGCCCTCTTAGCCTTTAGGGCTGTCCATTTCTAGACTTTGCCTGTCCCAGTGAAAGATAGCAGTCTTGCATTGGTGGAATATCTGATCTAAAAATCTTGCACAGCATTTCTTTACTTTCTACCCTTTTATATAGATCTGTACCAAAAGTTCTTAGTGGTAATTCTATCTTCTTGTGCTATCTTGATTGCAGATAGTAAGTTAGTTTCTGACCCAGAGGCTCAGCATGATTTTTAGGCTCTTGCTTTTTTTTTTTTTTTTTTTTGCCACGCCGCATGACTTGTGGGATTTCAGTTGCCTGACCAGGGATCAAACCCGAGCCCTCAGCAGTGAGAGTGAAGAGTGCTAACCTCTGGATTGCCAGGGAATTGACTTGAGCTCTTTCTTAGAAGAAAGAAAAGAAAGAGCTAAGGTTGTTTCAGACACTGCTGTTAACTAACATGGTTATGCCTGTTTCAATAGTGAGTTTATGAAATGAACTTTGAAAAATGGTATCTTCATACTTAGAAACCAATATAGCTCACTGGGAGGATCACTCTAAGTTTTATAGTGACCTTTGGCCACAAGAAATCAAAATCTCTATGGTCTGTGTCAAGAGTTGTGTCTGGTATCTGAAGGATGATTTGATGCAGCCACTAGTCTTACCGGCATCCGTGGAGTAGAGAAGAGAAGATGAACTCTGGAGTCAGACTGCCTGGTTCTTAAACGGGCTCCTCCATTCTGGGCCAGGTCCCTAACGCCTTTTCATGTATAATGTGAGGATAAATTCTAACACCCACCTTACAGAGACATTGGGAGAATTAAGAGAGTTCGCTGTATAAACAAAATGTATAATGTATAAATAAAAACAGAGCCTGGCATATATTAAGCACAAATTTCATCTTTTATTATGTGTCTTTATCAACCTGACCAACTACCGGGGACAGGGGCGTTGTTTACCTTCTGCCAGACTTCTATTGTAAAGAATCTGGCTTTGGTCCTCGACGGCAAATAAACCGTCCAGGATGGGGGCCATGCCCAAGCAGTGCGGTTCAATTCAAACTGAGCAAGACCATTTCTCTTCTCCCCTGATAAGACCATTAACATCTCAGAGGAGCCTGGTGCTCGCCCCCCCGCCCCCCAACAACCCCAAAGAAATAAAATTCCGTAGGAGGACTCAACTTTCCCTAAAGATTCACATCCAAAGTTCTTTTTCTTTTTTTAATTTTCTGCTGCTGTGCCCAGGCTTTCTCTAGTTGAGGTGAGTGGGGACTACTCTCTAATTGCAGTGTTCAGGCTCAACAGTCGCAGCTTACAGGCTCTAGAGTGTGGGTTCAGTAATTGTGGTACACCGGCTTGGTTGCCCAAGGCACGTGGGATCTTCCCAAACCGGGGATCGAACCCATGTCCCCTGCATTTGTGGGCAGACTCTTAACCACTGGACCACCACGGAAGTCCCCAGCATTCTGAGGTGAATGATCAGGTCTCACTCTCAGTAGATACAGTGTTATGCTGGTGAGTCAAGGCTTTTGGAGGTTGGGACTCTGCACCCAGGATGAAATAAATCCTGGAGCGACACTTTCAGTATCTCTGAGCATCCTTTGCTGCTATGACTTGCTCTGTTCAGACTTTCTTTAACTGTAACCAAAAAGCTTGCTGACACCAGGATACTGGATTCCATAGTCTGTTCAGTCTTTTTATTTTTATTTTTTAAATCCTTCGGGCAGCACTGCACAGTGTGTGGGATCTTAGTTCCCAGACCAGACAGGGACGGAACCTGTGCCGGAGCCCTAGCCACTGGAGAACCCCCAAGTCGGCTCAGCCTTATTCTGCTACTATGACTTACAGTCCCTGATTGCTTAGTTTGGTAATGAGCCTGCCTGTCTCTTCTCAAGTTGCAGTTTGACCCCATAAAGCAACTCGTGCTGCGCTGTGGTCTGGTAACTAATGTTCCATCTTGGTCAACAATATTGTGCCTATGTTGATATGCTCAACTCTGCCTGTGCCCTTGTTGACACTTTACAAGTTTCTGCAGCCCTATTGGAACTTCTGGCCCAACCCAAGATAAAACAGCTTCCTTTTCCAAAAAGAAATGTAAGTACACAGAAACCAAATTGTTTAGGGAAATAGAGAAAGAGCTAGAAATTTAGCTGAGCCAGAATTAGAAGCTTCAGGTCACATTACCTCTAAAATATAGTAATCAACAAGACTTCATTCTTAAGTAAAATGTTGTTTTAATAAAATACTGCACATATATATTTTTCTTTGCAAAGATGTTATGACCAGGATGGTTGGTGTGAATGATGATATATGGTGAGCTATATAATTAGTAGAAAAAAACAAGGACTCTCAAATAAATAGGCTTCAACATTTTTTTTAAAAAGAACATAGTCTGCGAATCAGTTGAGAAGAGAGAACAGGCAAAAAGGAGGAGTTGGCTTTTCCTCCAAGAATGTACTCTTGATTGGTTTCAGATATGGAAAGGAGTCATATTTACCCCCCAAGAATCAAAAGTAACATTGGAGTGACCTTCTGGAGAGAGGAATTCTGGCCCTCTCCTTGCCATTTTGCCTAAGATTTAAGAGCTTAACAGAAACATACAAAAGCACCACTACAGAGTCGCCTTCAGGCATCTGAGGATCCAGCAGGTTGGGTGTAAAATCAGTGGAAAATTATGGGGAAAACAGAGCTGGGCTAGTAAGGAGAAAGATTAAATGTTATGGAGGATAAGCTGACTTTGTACAAAGTTTCTGACCTAGTACAATATCCAGGTCACCACAGCCATTCAGAAATCTCAGTAAATACAATAACCATGGATATATAATAGAAAAACACAGGCAGAATTACTCCACTAAACACTGATTAATTGTACTTGAAGTTGTCCCCCACTGTTGAGAGTCTTACCTAAAGTTTCGAATATAATCAAAGTCATTAAGATATTGTTTCACATACAATTTTCAGGGTATGCAAGATATTAAAAAATCCTTAATCAATCCTTCTTTTCCTACCAAATTCACAGCTCCTTTCTCCTTTTCTGGGTAACAACGAGCATGAGTAGAAAATGCAGTTGTTAGCTATAAGATTTAAGAAAGAATTGACTTTTTAGTGGTGCCTTACTCTTAGCACAAACATATTCCGTATCTGCAAGGTAACTTTTATAAATTAAACATGTTGTCATTAAAAAAAATGGGAAATTCACTTGTGATTCCCAGCCTGGCATTATGAGCTGACCCTATCCTCATAGTTCAGTCAGTCAAGAATCTGCCTGCAAGGCAGGAGACCGGGGTTTGATTCCTGGGTGGGGATGATCCCTTGGAGAAGGATATGACAACCCGCTCCAGTATTCTTGCCTGGAGAATCCCATGGACAGAGGAGCCTGGTGGGATATAGTCTATGAGGTCGCAAGAGTTGGACATGACTTAGCAACTAAACTGCTATTACTACCAAGAAGTCTTGCCTTTGTACTGACAGAAAAAAAAAGCACACCTTCGCAGGAAGAATCCAGAACGACCCACCTTCCAATAAGGCTTTCTCAAATAAAAGCTTTCTCTAGCTTCTCAGTAAAGCATCACCTAATACAATTAGAATTGCAAAGGGGGAAGGGGGGCCGTCTGAGCTGACTCTAGTCCCTCTGGCCTCACGACGGGCTGGCAGAAGGCCCTAACCATCCTCAATCCTTGGCAGAGCCATTGGCTTTCAATTCTGAAGACTCCATATCCCTTTACAAAGTCTTCTTGTTGGGCTGGCCCAGCAACCGGGCGAGGCAGTAGGGGATGAGGCTGACAGATGCCAGGGGCACCGCCGCACTCTTGCAGAAGGACAGGACATAGAAGATCAGCTCGATTTGTGAGGGGGGTTTCAAAGAGTCAAAGAGGTGCAGGAGGACGAGGGAGGCCACGATGCAGCTGAGGCGAAATGGAAGCCACTTGCTGAGTTTGCCCTTGCAGCTCTCCCGGTACATGCTGGAGTTGAGAGCCAGACCCAAGCCAAAGAGGGTCCCCAGATTCTTGAGGAGGCTGGCAAAGGGCGTGGTGTCAATGTGGACCCACTCTGGCCGCTCACACCTTCGCTTGGCTTTCTCTAGAGTCCACAGCAGGTCGACCCCCAGCCACTTTAACAACAGGTAAAATCCAATGGCGAAACTGAACAGGAAGAAGGTGATAAGAAAGTACTTCTTGAGACTGGCATTGTAGATGCTCTGGATGTGGCGGAAAGTCTCAGCAACCGCAATGCCTGAGTGGGAGAAGGAATGACCATGAGAACTGGGGAAGATGCTGGCACGTCAGCTAGAGGTGAGTTTGGAACAATGGTTGACTTGCCACCTGTCCCACCATTGTGGAGTTAAATCACAGAGGCCAGATTAGAGGGTCTTTTGGTTTTTTCCCAGCCTGTCCTCAGTCATAGATTCTTTGAGATGGAAGAGATATGCCACTTACTGCTCCCCACCACATGCAAACTTCCTGTGTTGGGAGGAGGGTCAGGGGTGGTCCTCCTGTCTCTGTTTGAATACCCTCAGGGATGGAGAGCTCACTCCCACTCAGGCAGCCCATTTCATCTTCGCATGAATTTGATATTAGAAGGTACTTCTTTGTGCTGAGCTAAAACCTATCTCTCACGACTGAGCAACTGAACTGAACTGATTGGTCTCGATGCTTTTTGCAGGAGTTTGTAAGTAACTCTAGAGCCTCTGTTAACACATTTAAACACACTTGAAGATCCCCTGGAGAAGGGAATGTCTACCCACTCCAGTACTCTTGCCTGGAGAATCCCATGGACAGAGGAGCCTGGTGGGCTGCAGTCTACAGGGTCGCAAAGAGTCGGATACAACTGAGTGACTATCACATTCACTTTTTTTTTCATTCTCAGGGGTGAGGGATAAATTAGGAGGTTGGGATTAACATATACACACTACTATATATATATATAGGACCTACTATATAGCACAGGGAACTCTACTCAGTACTTTATAATAACCTATAAGGGAAAAGAATCTGAAAAGGAATATATATATACTGAATCACTCTGCTGAACACCTGAAACTAACATGATATTGTACATCAACTATACTTCAATTTAAAAATAATAAACTGGGTGGAAAAGACTAGACAAAACAGATTGGGAACTCAAAAAATAAAGATAGTTATTCTTCTTTCTGACTTAAACTTTCCCAGATCTTTCATGTAACATGAACGTCCAGGCTCTTCTTCAAACATGGAACCCAGTGCTATAATGCTGTGTTAATTTCATAGTTGCCAGGAAGTCATCATTTTTCTTGTTCTCAACATGCTTCTGTGAATGCTGCCCTCCTCTGCTTTTTCAGGTCTCTAGGGGGAAAATTCCACATTTCCCCTAAGGTCTTATATTCCAGTGCTTCTTACATTTAACTTACCTAAGTCTTTTCTGCCCGTTATTAGCTGGATCTAAGAAAACAACATATTTGAAACACAGAACCTATAATAAAGACCAGCTGTGGGTATCTATTAGATTTGCAAATGAATTTATTTAAATAAAGAGCTTTCCAAGAACATTGTGTTAATTTGTTAAATTTGATAGATTTTCTTAACCCTAACCTAGGGCCCACTTTCAATTGAAGAGCTGTAAGAAATAAAGAATGTAAAAATATCTCAGAGATTTTAGGCAAAGTCAACTGGGTAAGTTTGCTGTCTTGTCATTTTTCTGAAGCACACTTAATTGAGTAGATCCGGGCACTCCCATACAAATGAGTCCTTTAAATTGCCCACCCTTGACTTCCAACCCGCTGAAATACTAACAGTGTTGGTTATACACAGAACATGGCTGGAATGCTGCATTTTGTCCTGATTAGGAAGGAATGGTGTAGGTGGGGGTTGGAGGGAGGGAACCAGAGCAGTTGGTACCTGACAAGACTCCAGCAACAACTTGATGGGGAAAATGAGCAGCAAGGTAGATCCGTGACAGGCAGACATTCAGTTGCACGACCCAGAATCCCAACCACAACATGACATTCAAGCACCTGCGATGGAAGAGGCAGTCATAAGAAAATCCAGATATAGATCCTTCACCAAAGAGAATTGCCTCAGCAGGAACACTGGAGCCTGGCAAACTCAAGTTATATTAGTGGAATTTTTTGTAAATTGAAGACTGTGTTCAAAATCTCAAAGATAGCCGTGGCAAGTGGTGAACCCCTGTGTATGTGAATTTCAACCTCCCTATTTTATGTTTCATAATGAAAGATTCACTCAGTGGCTGCATACTCAGAATTCCCCGTAAAAGTAATGTCTTCTGCTTGTTTATTTATTTTAACCTGGATGGGGCATGGCAATGTTTGGTATGGAAATGGGCTTTTATTTACAGCCTGCTTCTTCCTCACTAGCTGATCTTGAGAAAGCCCTCTGTTATGTTAGGCCTTGTTCCTGATCTCTAAAATTATATGTTGCCCATGTGGGTCCCGTCTATCCCTAACATTCTGTGACCCTAATGTTCACTCCCAGCAGAACTGCCACAACTCTTATCAGTACCAACCCAAGGCATGAGGTGGGCAAGGGGCATGGAGGAAGAGCAAGTGGTATGTCTGCTACAGAGAGAGCCACCTCCTGCCATCCACCACCCACAACCCAGAGCTGAGTTCTTACCGAAATCCGTAGGTTGGCTTTTTCTTTCCCCGAAAGATAGAGAGGGTGGATGTAACCATCACATAGTATACACCTGCTGTACCCATGGCATGGCCAGAGGGACTCCCTAAAGAATAGGAAAGAGATGAATGAATGAACCAAAGCCAAAAAATCTTCATCTGGGAGATTGCTAGGGGGCATCATCTATCCATCCATCCATGCATTCATCCTTCCTTCCATCTTTTCATCCATCCATCCAGCCAGCCAGCCATCTATGCATCTTTACATCCAGCCAGCCAGCCATCTATCTTTTCATCTGTTCATTCAATTATCTATCCACCCATCCATCCTTCCACCCATCTACCCATCTTGCCATCCATTCATTTGCCTATTTAGTTATCTATGTAACACATATCTATTAAGCTCCTACTACATGCCCAGCAATGTGCTAGGCTCTGGGAGAACAGTGGGTGGCACAGTCAGAGAAAGCCTCAGCCCTTGAGATTATACAGTCTGTATACAGTCTACAGATTAGACAGAGAATCAGCCTGCTGGGTATATAATTGCAAATCAATCTTCCTTCCATTACCTCTCTTGTACTCTTTTTGCTCGCTCAGCTCTGGCCATGCTGGCCTCATTGCTCCCCTTTAGACACACTCCCTCCTCAGTGTCTGTGACATTGGTCTTTCTATCCAGACACTTCTTCCTCCAGGATTTATTGGCTAATTCTCTTGCCTCCTTCAAGTTTTTGCACAGATTTCTCCTTCTCAGTGAGTCCTATCCTGACCACTCTATTTAACACTGCATCCAATTGCTGTTCCTGGTCTCCTTTCCCTGAAAGGTGGAGGGCCCTGTGCCACCAGATCCTTTTCTGGACTAAAGAGTTTATTTTTCCTTTCTATTGTTGAGAGTGTGATTACAGGTGGCCGTCAGTGCTCAGACTTCACTGGACATTGCCTTGGGCTGATGAGAGCCTTCTTGATCAGAAGTACCCTTTCCCTGGGGGGCCCCTGCATCCAATCACTCATCTCTATTGGGGTATAAGGCCTGGTCCCCTTGAATCAAGTCAGAGCTCCTATGGGGTTAGCTGAGATTGGATGGCAATTAGACTTCTGCCCAGGTGGCTTCCATCTCTTCCTTCCACAAGTACTGCTCTCGAGTATAGCACCTCCTGCATGCTGATCTCCATCTGAGTCTGCTTTCCAGGGAACCCCACATAAACCCTTGCCTTTCTTCCTCCTCCTCCTCTTTCTTCTATTATCCTAAATATTTTTTACTTGTGTATTATGATTTTTTATCTCTCTCTCTCTCACACACACACACATCTCATTCAAATACAAGCTCCACAAGGGTAGGAGCCTTTTTTTTCCCAGCTGTACCACACAGCTTGCGGGATCTTAGTTCCAGGGACTGAACCTGAGCCACGACAGGAGGGCTTCCCCGATGGCTCAGTGGTAAAGAATATGCCTGCCAATGCAGGAGCCGAAGGAGACTCGGGTTTGATTCCTGGGTTGGGAAGATCCCCTGGAGGAGGAAAAGGCAACTCATTCCAGTATTCTTGCCTGGAAAATTTCATGGACAGAGGAGCCTGGCGGGCTACAGTCCAAAGAGTTGATTGCAAAGAGCTGGACATGACCAAGCAACTGAGCACCCACGCACAGTGAAAGTGCCGAGTGAGGTGCTAAACCATTGAACCACCAGGGAATTCCCAACAGTAGGGATCTTTGGTTTATTCACGGAGGCATTTCAAGTGCCTAGAACAATGTTTGGTACAGATACTAGATAAACAACGTCTGAATGAATGAATATACTCTAAAGTGAATCAAGGTTTTGTGAAAACAAATAACTAAGGGCAACGCCCTAGTCTGGGAGTCAGGGATGGGGCCCCTGAGTTTAGGGACACTAACACCTGTAGGGGAGTGGAGGGGTTGAATATTGCTTTTTCTTACTGAAAAATGAAATCTCTCATTTGGCTGAACAATGCCCGTCTGGGTGTAACTAGTAAAGTACAGACAGGGTGTGGGACTGAACAGTCAGCTGGGGAGGACACAGCTCCCCGGCCAGGCTTCTGGGAAGGATGACGAGGGGCTCAGGCCTCTACCATGTCCCCTTCCTGGACAAAGGGCCACAGCACAGTTACTCTCATGAGCTGTTTGTCTGTGAGGGAGCCCTTGCCTCTCTGAACTAGCAATTTCCGTTCTGGAAACATTAGTCAGATTCCAAAGTGGCAGTCACAGGCTATTCTGGAAGGCCTTGCTGAAGTGAATTCAGATGGAGTTGTACCAAATCCAAGGCCATTACCAGAGCTTGAAGGAGTGGCTCTGCTCATGTCCCCTTCAAAGACAGCTTCATCCGGCACGAATGTTACCAGATGTCCACAATGAGCACGGTCCACCCAGCTTCTGTCTGGATGAGGGCTGGGCCTCTTACCTGGGCCGGTCTCACAGGTGACTGGGAACTGCTTTATCAGCGGCACCGAGGTATTGCTGTAGTAGTCGGTGTCCAGAACCCACCAGTATGGGCGCTGTCCAAAGAGAACCCTGTGAAAAAGCAGAACCAGGGTCTGGAGTTACTGAAGGAATGCTTTGGCCTGATGCCACACCTTCAAGAAGAGAGAGTAGCTTGGGTAGAAGATCCATGAGATCCAACACAGAACATGAGCCCCTCCAAGAAGGGGAACTGGGCTGTTAGGGAAAAGCAGGGGAAGGAGACATTTATGGAGCATTCTTTATAGAACTTGTGAATTTTGCCTTTGGAGGTATTATTTATTGAAATGTAAATAAATAAATCCCATATCCTCAAAACCATATTAACAGCAGCTGCTGGTGGTTTAGTTGCTTAGTCGTGTCCAACTCTTGTGACTCCATGGACTGTAGCCCGCCAGGCTCCTCTGTCCATAGGATATCCCAGGCAAGAAGAGCGAAGTGGGTTTCCATTTCCTCCTCCAGGAGATCTTCCTGACCTAAGGATAGAACCCAGGTCTCCTAAGGCTCCTGCATTGGCAGGCAGATTGATAGCAGCTATGTAACTTCTTCTTTTTTACCCCTGAGAAGAATTTGCCCTAGAAGGATGCCTAGGGATTACAGTTTGTGACTTGGGTTGCATATCCTACTGATCGTTTCTTCAGGCCTCCAAAGTCTTGGGTTTCTACTGGATCTCAGAGACTGAGCCCCAGCCTCAAGGACAAGCCTCCCAGGAGATGTGGTCTCCAGTTTCCATCAGAATCACTTTCTGTAAGGACATACATAGCTACTATTTGCTTGTTTTGTATCCTCTGGCTTTGAAACAGAATATCTCAGACAAACCACTTCCCCTTTAAAAGCATGTTTTTCATTGTGGAAACAGGTGTGAAGGGTCAGTCAGGATGCTTCTTTTGCTCTGCAGTGGAGGAATAGTGACTTCTCACTAAAACTGGCCACAGCCACTAACTCTGACCTCTACCAAGTTAGAGAAAAATCCATGGTTCTTTATATGAAATCAGATATTTGGAATAACCCTTTATCTTTTTGTCTTTTAGGGTCATGCTATTGAATACTGGAAGTTATAGACAAAACTTGGTAGGTTTTTCAACAGAAATTTCAGGATCCCATCAATATGCCTTGGGCTTCTGAGCCCCAATAACAATGTTCAAGACTTTTCTTGTTTATGGCCAAAGAAAATTAAAGCTAGACGAGATCTTAAGAATCACCTGACAGTGAACACAGGTAATTTCAGGGATGGTAAAAGTCTCTGAGGGCAGCTGGTCCAAACTGTTCATTTTCTACATGAAGAAATAGAGACCAAAATAGTGATGTGCTGGAGTCAACTGGTACTGGCTAACAGTTGTAAAATATTCAGGGTTTTTGCAAGCCAGACCCATTGATAGCTTGAAAATAGTCATAACGGGATAACAGACACAGTTAGAAATTGGCAAATACTAAAATTGGGGCTTCTTTACCTTTTGAAAGTTAGTTTCTTAGCACTGGATATAACATAATTCTTAAGAGCCTTGCCTATGAAGTCAGCCTGCCTGGGCTTGAATCCTGTCTCTGACATTTACTACCTATGTTTTTGTAGTCACTTAACTCAGTGCCTTAGTCTCTTCATCTGTAATATAGTAGTAACACCCTATAAAAAAGTGCTTAGCACGTGGCCTGGCACATACTACAGGATCAAAAATTGTTGATAACTATAGTAATTATTAAGATCCCAGAGATAATCTAAGTTTACAGATTATAAAACAGAAACTCAGAGAGTTGCTCTGAGTTGCCCAAGACATAAAGCTGGCTGAACAAGAGAGGTCTCTGAATTGCTTTTCATGACCTCACACAACAGGTTTTGAAATTGCCTGTCTCCATTCTTCATACCTCATCTTTCTCCCTTCACACACCTATCTATGTGTCACCTATGCTGCTTCAGTTTAGACTTCCCTGTTAGTCCATTGGTTAAGAATTCACCTGCCAATGCAGGGGACACGGGTTTGATCCCTGCTCCAGGACGATCCCACATGCTGCGAAGCAACTAAACCCATGCGCCAGAATTGCTGAAGCCTGAGCTCTAGAGCCCGTGCACCGCAATAAGGGATGCCACTACGACAAGAAGCCCGTGCACCCCAACTGGAGAGTAGCCCCTGCTCTCTTCAACTCGGGAAACCCTGCACACAGCCACCAAGACCCAGAGCAGCAGTAAAAACAAACAAAAAATACAAAAACAAGCAAACAGAAAAATGGCATTTCTTTGTTGATAGCCTATAATTCACTAGGTCTAGCTGGCCTTCCATCCATATGAAATTGCCTTTCCTGTATCTTCACTCACTGACAGGGTTTTCTCTGTCTTTCCTCTTTCTATAGAGGATCCAGAGACAGGAGGGGAGTAAACTATGATTGCATGAATAGCATGAAAAAGCAACTTCTGATGGACAGACCTTTCCAAAGACAATGCCAGCCTCTTTCCTTGCTGATTTCCTCTTTGTCCGGCTCTTACTCACCACTTAAAGACGAGGTTGAGCCAGTCTCCAATCACAGCTACCCAGAGGAGTTTGATGCCCACAGCTTCTCGAAGATGGAACCAGATGGGGAAGAGGACATAAAAGGCATTCCTGAGATCTGCAATCACGGACACCAAGATGAACCAATCCTGGGAGTTCTGGTAATTCACCTGGAGGTAGTGTGTTGACTGGATCCCAAAGTCATGTAGAACGTTCATTCCCTTCTCCATCCTCACTCAGGAAGCCTTTGGCTGTGCCTTTGCAGTTATTTCAGACTGGGTGGCGATTGCTTTGCTATCAGCCTGTGCCTTGCCTCTCTGTTTTATACACCCTGTATCCAGTCTGCAGGCCAACCCAGCCCTGATCTTTGGACTCAAAAAACCACTTTTGTCTAAAATCTATTGATCAAAGGTGCATCACCAGTAGGTTGATGCAAACATGTTCAGCGTGATTTACGTAAAATAGAAAAACAGGCACACAAAAACAGCCTGATCGGTCATGGGCTGGCACAGCCAATTATTAACTTTGGCATTGCTGCTTGACAGTACAAGGGGTTGCCCTCCTGGTTCTGAAACCTGGCCAGAGACATAGGACAGAGTCTAAATCTGCCATGGTTCTTGCAAAGATGTCTGACTTCCTAAGTCTGCAATTGCACTTATTTGGGAACAAAGAAAAGTCTTGGCGCTCTAGCAATTCAACTTTTAAATAGTTAAATTTTAAAATATAATAAGTTCTATTGTAGTGGGGACAGTCACATTGCTGGACATTTCTGAATTGCTCTAGAATCTGGAAAATGCCTCTGATTTGGGAGATCAAGCCCTCTTTCCAGTATTGGTTCTGTATCTCTCAGGTTCAGAAAAGAATCATCTTTGAATGCACTGATTAATTCATTTAACGTCCTTAAAGCGAGGACCTTTGGGGTTTTAACAGGTAAGTATAAGCAATAGAGTGCATATGTGTGTGCTTCGTGGGTCAGTCAAAAACAATATGATGAATTTCTGCTGCTGCTGTTTAGTCACTAAGTCGTCTCTGACTCTTTGTGACCCCATGGACTGTAGCCCATCAGGCTCTTCCTTCCGTGGGATTTCCCAGGCAAGAATACTGGAGGGGGTTGCCATTTCCTTCTCCAGGGGATCTTCCCAACCCAGGGACTGAACCCGAGTCTCCTGCATTGGCAGGTGGATTCTTTACTGCTGAGCTATCTGGGAAGCCCATACGATGAATAAGTAGTTCTAAATAAAATCACAAGTAAACTGGGGACTGGGGACTCTGGAAAGGGCTTTGTACTTTGAGTTTTCTTTCATTCGTACTTGGAGATATGCAGATAGATAGATAAGTATAATCACCAAGAAGTCAATACAGTACTATTATAGCCATGGATGTAGACAAGAAATAAAGTAAGAAACACCAAGTTATGAGAAGCGATGCTGCCTGCTCACTCCTACAAGCAGGAACCATCCTGCATCAGCACAGAGACCAAAACCTCACATTCAGATGACCTAGGACTGTGAAGAGGGCAGGGTCTGAGTCAGATGACAGACTGATGTAGTTTCAAGCATAAGAACCAGTGGGAATAAACCTTGTTAAAAGCCACCTGAATTCTCCCTTAACAAGTCCACAATTGCTTTGTAAGGGGTAGTTCAGGGACAGGGAAAAGAAACTCAGAGCAAATGAGTTTGTAGCAAAGGTTGACCACATTCCACGCTGGAAATGATTAAAATCTCATCCAGGAGGTATGATCTGGAGTCTCATTCCCACCCCTCTGGGCTCCTCGCAGAATTTAACTGCCTTTGACCCTACTGTCTCTGCTGGCCCAGGCATCCTTATCCTGCCACTCCTTGCTGGGAGAGCTGGGGTGATGGTGGTGTTGGTGGCTGTGAGTGGGCTGCAAATGAAGAATGTCCTTCATTTGTGGTGTTGAGGGGGAGGGTGTTCTGCACTATGAGGACTGCCAGGTCACAGGGAGTGGGCCCCACAGAAGAGGTGACCCCCTCTCTCTAACCAGATAAGCCTTCCTAGAAAATACTGAGTATCTATTGCGATGATCCCTCAGGACTGAAGTCTCTATGGTCAGAGGTGAGACAAGGGCAAGTTGGGCAGATGCTCTGACAACATATTCAGAGGCACTATCCGGGTCTCCCCCCTCCACTGGCTGCTAGGAGTCAGAGTACCTGAGTTGGGCGGGGTGCCATCACGTGCTCAGCATATGGGGAGCCAAGGGAGAGCCCTATCTTCTGGGGGAAACTCAGGGAGCATGAGCCTGTTGATAAGGAGGGCAGATAGAGCTGATATCCCTCTGGGCACACAGGGCAGGTGGGGAGTCTTTCTAACAGGTTGCCTGCCTGGCAGGGGGACTCTCTTGTCTGGAGAATTGCCTACATCATGAGACTATTTGCTGGTCTCTACTTTTCTAACTTCCAGCCCCTACCTGCTGCCTTCAGCAAATTTTTATCAGGTGCAGAAAAAGGTGAGCCCCCCCACCCCCCAACCAGGAACTTGAGCCTGCTAGAAAGCTGACTGAAGAGAAAAATTGGGAGCTTTCAAACCCTCCAGGGACTTGTGACTATTTGTGGTGAATACAGCGGAAGAAGCATTTGAGTGGCTGGAGGTTTCGGTGAGAATTCTCTCATTTAAAGAACTATCTCCAGAGAGAGGATTCCATCATCTCCCTCCAGCTTCTGGCATCTTTCAAGAAGTTCTCCAGTTTAATTCAACAAACATTTCTTGAGCAAAGCACCATGCCTGGCTCTCTGAGGAATTCAAAGTTAAATCCCGGTTGTCCTCAGGGATCTCCACACCCTCTCTAATGGGGCAGGGAAGCCATTTACTTAACTACGTCCAGTGGGGGATCCTTTGATGAAAACAGAATCCATTTATACAAATGTCAGTGAGTTCCCTATTATTTTGTCCTTGGAAGAGATGGCTCAAGAGTTTTTGTTTTTTTGGAACACAAATGTTAATTTATTAAGGAGCTTCAAAGTCATACAAATAATACGACAAGATTTAGATTAGCTAAATAATATGACAAGATTTAGTTTAGTAACTCAAGTCTTCTTAATGTTCTCTGGGGCAAGAATTGCTGAGTCTGGGAAACAGTGAAGATGGAAAATTATACAGGTCCCTCCCAGGCACATTAGCTGGACACTCCCCAGGCACTCTCTGCACAAACAGAAATTCAGAGGCTTGGAGATCTTGGTTTGGGAAGAACATGAAGGCAAGGTTCCAGAAAGTACAGTCTGGTCTGCTGTTAACTAAGAGCAGCTGGTTTCAGTGTATCTGGCAACTTCTTCCCAGAGCAGGGTTGACTCATTCACTCAGACAAGCTTCTTTGCTGACGGGAAAGCAAAAGGGAAGGAGCCATAACTGACCATGCACCTCATGCAAAAATTGCATTTATTAACAAAAAGAGATTGTGACTTTACCTACAGCCAAATCCTCTCTTGCGGCTGGGGCTCTGAGTCCTATTGAGAGAGGAGCTGCCTTTCTGCTCAGCTATGATCACTAGAGTGGATTTTGTCTGCACATAGTAGCAGGGAGGCCAAATCCAGCTTCAGTCCAAGGCTTTTAGTAACAACGTAGATGTCTCTGAAGGGTGACAGCTGTAACTGCAAGATGTACAATTTTTTTTTTTTTTTAAATTTCTTGGGACTTCCCTGGTGGTTCAGTGGTTAGGATTTCACCTTCCAATGCAGGGGATGCAGGTTCGATCCCTGAATGTCTCTGAAGGGTGACAGCTGTAACTGCAAGATGTACAATTTTTTTTTTTTTTTAATTTCTTGGGACTTCCCTGGTGGTTCAGTGGTTAGGATTTCACCTTCCAATGCAGGGGATGCAGGTTCGATCCCTGGTGGGGGAACTAAAATTCTACATGCCTTAGGGCAATTAAGCCTGTGCTAGAGAAAGCTCGTGTGCAGCAGTGAAGACCCAGTGTAGCCAAAATAAAATAAAACAAGAACTCTCCTCCCACTCCACCTAATTTCTTTTCAGGTGCTTTTTTTCCTATCAAAGTGATCAGCGGTGGGGGCGTGCGGTGGGGGTGGGGTTGGGGTTGAGGGGCAGACAGAAATTGGCTGGATCAGCTGCTGTTACCTTTGATGTGAGTGACCCAGATCATTTTTTTTTTTTTTTTACAAAAATATGTTGGTAAAAGCAGGTGGAGGGAGAGGTGGGTTAATCATTGTTAGCCAGTGAAAATGGCTGACTTATCTCCAGCACGGTGGGAAAGTTCAGCTGCAGGACCTTGAACTGTGCATCTGTTGACCAGGTTGGGGGAGCGTGGTTCATATCTCAGGATGAGCTGGACATTTTGTCCACAGAAAAATGCTGCAGGACACTCGCTTCGCGGTAAACAGTTAAGAATCTTTGGCTCATTACCTACCTCTTGTCACCCCAGCATCTGCCTTCTACAAAAATCAAATGAATCATCCTGTTGCAGGAGCAGGCTCTTGTCTAACACTCGGAAGTGAGTTGTCCAAGGAGACAAATGTGCTGACGAAGCAGGAGACTTTACTGGGCAGAGGCACCCAGGTGGAGAGCAACAGGGCAAGGGGACCCAAGAGAACAGCTCTGCCACGTGGCTCACAGTCTCGGGGGTTTTATGGTAATGGGATTCGTTTCTGGGTTGTCTCTGGCCAATCATTCTGACAAAGGATCTTTCCTGATGGCACACGCATTGCACATCCAAGATGGATTCCAGCAAGGAGGATTCGGGAGGTTGGTAGACACGTGGTGTCCCCCTTTGACCTTTCCCAAATTCTTTTGGTTGGTGGTGGCTTGTTGTTCTGTGTTTCTTACCAAGACTTCCTGTTATAAAATTATTCATGCAAATGGTTACTATCATGCCTGGCCAGGGTGGGCGGTTTCAGTCAGTGTTTCCCCTAACAATCCAAGCCGTTATGGGGAGTACAGACTGACCATTTTTTTCCTCTCCTCCCTCTTTCTTAAACCCCCTCCCCCTCCCAAAGAAGCTGTTGTTCCCTCCAGAGATTAACCTGTTTTCAAAAAAGGTCAACTAGTTCCCTCACCACCAGAGGGTAGACACTTCTCCCATTCTCCATCAGCCCCTTGGCGGTGCCAAACCACCCTAGCAACCAGGACACATTCTATCTGTCGAATTCTATCCTTCTTGCCAGGAGTTAAACTTTGTTGACGCTGCATGGCAGAGGCTGAAGCAAAGGAAGGAAAGCTCTAAAAAAGTGGTTGGGACTATTTGGAAAAAGTTCATTTTCTTTGTCTTGGTCTATACTCCAGAGACAAAGAGAGGCTGGCTGAGGGGAGAAGGGAAGGGTGACTCCAGCTAAGGATCCAACCCTGAC